TAATTTCATATATACATTTTTATCTACTGTAAGAGTTATTTTAAAAATTACTATTTAGCTTAAATCTTTTTTTTTTATAATTTTAGTCAATTGGGATTAGAATAACAAAGTAAAGAGTTAGGATGCAACCCCCAATGATTTATATTAGGTTTATATCATTTCAATATTAATCAATATAGAACATTCATTCATAGATAGAGACTATAAATCCGAAAATTAGGTGAATGTACAAGGTGAAAGAGAAATGTTTGTGACATTTACTTGTCTCTTTCAGGTTTTGTAATTGTAAAATTATCATCTTGTTTTGAAGTTGGGTTTCATTTTCAAATATTTATGAAAAAGAAAAAATTATTTCAAGCATTTCCTATACAAATATTTCAAAACAAACTAAAAAATAGGAAATAAGAACGTAAGTAAGACCAACCTAATAATTCACTAACACACCTTAAGCAAGATATCTTATGGTCAACTTTGTAATGAGAATTACTTATTTTATCTGAATAAATAAATTTTTAAAATTTGTATATAGACAAATTTTTTTAATTAAAATCAATTACCCACCCCACTCATCTAGGATCAATTTAGTTTTTATTCATAAGATATTATTTAACAATTTTTATTCCATTTCAATAATAAAATATATAATAATTTTTTTCCATTTAATCTATACTTTATAACGTTAATATTGGTGTTGTCCATTTTTTTAATGTTTAGTTATGTATACAAATTTTTATTTATTTTAATTTTTAAAATTTCATTAACTATCCACAATATTATAAAATCACTTAATGAAAAATACTTAAAATTAAATTATAAATTTATTTATATTTATAAATACTTTTTATGAAAATTTTATAATTTAACAGTATTTTTTATTTTAATAATTAATTTATTATTATAAAAAATATTATTTTCATTTTAATATATTCAAAATATTTATATATATTCTTTTAGTAAATAATTCTTCCGGAATAATAAAAATTGACATATTTTATTTTTATTACAATAAAAAAAATTATAATTTAATTAAATGTTATAATTTTTTAATTTTGTTAAAACTTTATAAATGGATTCAACACATACTTAATTTTTAATAATTCTTTTATTAAATTTCACATATATTTATTAAATAAAAGTATTAACATTAATATTATAATATTCTTTTATCTTTGTTACTTTATGTAAATTTAAAATTATTATTAATTTTTCAAAATTCACTACAAGTTAATGTTAATTTTTCTTTCTAAAACCTAGAAAATAGAGACTTAAGAGTTATAAAATATTTTCAATAATGAGAACATGTTATTTTAATATTAAAAAAATAAAAAATATAAATAGAAATTTTGTTTAAGTCTCATTACTTAAAAACACCTTTCATTTCTCTAGAACTCATTATTTAAATAATCTCTTTCTTCTCTCTTCAAGTTCTAAACACTGAGTTATCTCTTTGAAGATTAGTAAGTGGCTATGTGATCAAAGCAACAAAATTTTCCTTTCCATTCAATCAGTTTTCTCAAAAGAATAAGTTAGTTTTTACTCTTTTCTTGAGTTGTAAGTTTCTTCCATGCATGTAGAACTTTTCTGTCACTCTCAATAACTTCCAATCTCAAAAAAAGAAGGATGGTTATGTCGTGGGGAGTAGAAGGAGGTCCTTAGTCTAATGTCATTTATTGGCCATAGATGTTTGACAGATTAACCTCGAGTATGGTAGTCGGTGTGCATGAGTTGTTGTTACACCACCTCAAGGTGTAGGACCCATATAGTTCGATATCAATACATGTATCCAGAGTGTGTGTTTGTTTGATTTAAAGTTGATATGAAGTGGTTTTTGAGTACGAAATTGTATATGATAATACTTTAAGGATTTCAAGGACAAATCCTTTAGATGGTTGTGTATAGTGTATGTATTAATATAGGATGATAGTGATTTGGAGTTATTCTAACACTCTCAATAATTTCTAATCTTAAGAAGAGAAGGATAGTTATGTCCTAGGGAGTAGTAGGAGGTCATTAGTCAGATGGTCATTTCTTGACCATAGATGTTTGACGGATTAACCTCGAAGTGTCGTAGTTGGTGTGGATGAGTGGTTGTTGCACCACCTTCGGGTGTAAGGCCTTTATAACTCGATATCAATACATGTATCCAAATGGTCAGTCTAGAATAAATAGTTGAATGTTTATAAAATTGTTAGTTATTAATGATTTAATTATAATTTGATTTTTGTAAATGATTATGTGTATTCGTTGATAATATTAACTTATCATTTTCTCTATGTTTTGTGTTTACTTGTTCTCTTGTTGTAATAATCATCTTTATAGTGTAAGCAAATGAAAAGCTCTCTTTGGATCAACTTTTAGAAGATAGAGATGGAGCATAGGTTTAGATTAGGATTCTACTTTAGCTGGTTTTGTATATATGTTTATATGAAAATATATGTATATACTTTTTTGAAAAATTTTTGGTTGCACTCTAGTTCTTAAGTTTAAAAAAATTTGTTGGACTTCCCTTTCTTGTGTATAATTTTATTATTATAGTTATATTTGGATAATTGTAATAATTTTATATATGCTTTTTGTTTAAGGGTTTTAGTTTATTAAATATGTGATGAATGTTATAATAGTGTTACTATTATTGAAAATTTGGGACGTTACAATGATGATAATTATTAAAGATCAATGTATATACCTTTATTATATTAATCACTAATAAGATTTAAAACAATTTTTATATTAATATAGTAACTTTTTATTATACTCGAAATTAATATAAGTTATTGGGTAAAAGAAAAAGGTTGGGGTTGGTGAGGGTCCGTGCAACTTCTTCCCTTTTTTGAGCAAAGTGGTTTTGGGTAGATATAAATGACTTCTTCCAAAGGTTGTTCTTCTTGTTCCAATACATGGTCAGAAAGAATTTCGCATTCCTCACATGATGGTGGTTGAAGGGGAGGTGGGATAATCCCTTGTTGCAAATGTGGTGATTTTGTTGTAAGCAAAGTGGCAAAAACTCCAAAGAATGATGAAAGACAATTTTGGGGATGTCGTCATTACAAGGTTTTATGAATACCCTTCTCCCTTAACTTGGAATTTATTTGTTCATAGATTGTTGAGTTAGAACCAATTTTGGTGGCTTATTTGGTGAAGTATCATGGTGGATCTTCAAGAAGGATGTAATGTAACTTTTTCAAGTGGTGTAATGAAGAAAAGATTGACGAAAGAGATGGTGAAATTGTCAAAGAAAGGATAAAATTGTTAGTTGGAGCCGTGTGTGTTGTTATTGCGATGAACATTGTGACATTGTGGGTCTGTTTAGGTTGATGTTCGTAGGTGGGTCAATGTTTACATTAAGGTCTAGGTTAATGTTTATGTTCATGTAATGTGAAGGTGAAACTCAATGTTTACGTTCAAGTGTAGGTGTTCATGTAATGTGAATGTGAAGCTTAATGTTTACGTTCAGGTGTTTATATGTAATGTTAAATTTAGTTTCCCCTTTGGTCAAAAAATGTGAAATGTGGTTCCCTTTTCAATTTAAAACTGTGTACTTTGGTCCCAAATGGATATCAACGAAAAACACATGAAAGATATCTAGCAATGTTTCCACCATTAGTTTTCACCTTTAGTCCACCATCTCTATCCACCTCCACTCCACCATCCACCTCCTCTCCACCATTAGTTTCCACCTCCACTCCACCATCTCTGTCCACCTCCCTCCACCTCCTCTCCACCATTACTTTCCACCTCCACTCCACCCTCTATAATTCCATCTCAAACCCTAACCCCCAAATCCAATAATAATAACATCAAGTAAGTAGGCTAGGGTTAGCAACACTTTCCTCACGTATGTACGGTATTCAAATTTCACCTTCAAGGAATCACCACACCATAGTGATTGCAAGACCAGTTTCACCAGATTGTTAAACCCAGAAATCACGATAGGATTCTTAGATAAGGGTAATTTGATTTAACCCATTTCGTTAAACCTAGCTGACATTATTATATTTTTTTTAAAATTTACACATTCAAATATATCATATGTGCTATGTATTGCAAAAGCTTTACACGTTATTCAATTTTGGCCATGGAGGCATCTGCACCATTATGTTTTTAACGTAGTAAGCCAAAAGTACCATTTTGAACATTTTTAACAAAATATGAAACCTAACTAAACTTTTTTAAAATGTAGAACGACTTCGAAAAAAAAAAACCTCAAAACTAGAGACTAAATGATGTATTAAATATATATATATATATATATATATATATATATATTATTTATTGTACTGTACCAACTCTCCTTTTTAATAATATTTTTAAATTATAATATAAAATTTAAAAAATTTCCCTTTTAAAAAAGTATAATTAAATTATAATGGTTTAAAACGTTTCTCTTGACCTAATTAATTTTTATTACAATATAACTTGAATATAATATACAGTAAATAATATATAAAATCATATAAAATAATATATATATCGTAAAAATACTAACATAGGAGTGTAATATAAAATGTTTCCACCCACACAATGTTAATTTTCCCTTAAAATGTTATATAATTTTTTTAATTTTAACATTTAATAGTAAATGGTATTGTTATTTTAAATTTTAAAAAATGAAAATTCTGATTCAGTACCGCTCGCTTGTTGCAGTAATTATTTTTATACCAGAATGAGTGAAAGCAGAGTTTTAGAAACATGGGTTACCAGTGAGGTAAAGCGTAAGAAGTTCACTCTCAGTTCCTGATTCACCTTTTAGGTTAGTAAACACTGAAAAATGCTACCTTTTATAATTTCTGTGAAAGATGTTAAATTCTATAATTTTTCTGAAAGAAAAGCCCTTTTCATTTTCTCTCCCAAGTTTTCTGTTTGTTTGATATTAACTGTTCTTGCATTATTCTTGATCAAACCCTAACCTTTAAGTTTCCTGCATTTTATTTATTTTATGAATTATAGTTTCAGAGATTCACATCAGGGTTTGTCATATACCTAATTTGTTCTCTCTTTTTTTTTCACCTTTCTGCTTTAAGACACAGAAAACCAGAATTACTCCTTGTTTGGCTGAAACAACTTTGGATAGCTCTGGTTTGATGTAAACTTTATCTTGGTTTTCTAGGAAAACAGTTTTAAGAATCAACATATGCAAACCTAGTGAGTATCTAGATGCAATTTATCAATGCGTCTTTTTACAGTTTCCTAGTCAAATAAATCTTAAGGTTAACTTTTATGTCTATGATCATTAGAGGATATTGATGTCGGACACATTACCTGTTTGGGTTTGTGTTCAAGATAGTTGTGCTACCTTTATTGTGTGATGGAGGAAAAGAAAAGAAGAAAAACTTTGAAGAAAAATGTTCATACAAGGAAGACATTTTTTGAGGCTTGATTTTTCACATTTCTAAGTTTTGGTGTATTCAGGGTGTGCTTAGATCACTTGAAATAACAACTTGATAACTTATGATGCAGTGACTCAATGGAAGCCCAAGAGGATGGTGTTGACGTTCAGGACAAGCTTTCTGGCTTTATTTTCATGTGTAATGGAATTACAAAACCAGAGTGCTACCAATACCGAGTTTTTGGACTTCCTGCTAGGAGAAAGGCTGATGTAGAGAAGATCAATCCTGGTACATATCTTTTTCTGTTTGACACTGATGTGAAGCTTCTCTACGGTATTTATATGGCAACCTCAACCGGGAAACTAGAAATAGAGCCATTAGCTTTTGGGCACAAATTCCCTGCTCAGGTGAGTCTTTACAATCTAAGTAGACTTCTCTTGCTCCCACACATAGACTGACCAATTAGTGAAAATAGCATCCTGTGTCATGATTGGCAGTTTGTGGAAATATTGGTAGCAGTTTGTAGCACCAATCTTGTTGCCTAAGCATTATAATTGTCATTTTGGTTTCTGTTTCTTAATTTGCCTTTGGAGTTGAATACATATGGAGGAATATAATTGGTTGTTGGTGGTTCTTCAGGGGCATTTGGATAATTTATTTGTAACCTTTGACATTTTTGTAGCTTTTGGAATAGACTCATGAACCTTAATCTCTATAATTTTTTGAAGTGGACAAGTATAGTCAAAGTTTTTATGTTGACTTCCTAATTTTTCCTTTTCTTAGTCAAATTTCACGTATTAACTTCAAATCATATAGTATGAGACCAGTAAGTGCTTCTGATTGCTAACTGTACTCGAAACTTTGTTGTTATGTCAAATGCACTATATCTATCGCTTTATTTTTCATTTCCCGTTGTCCTGCTTTCATATTTTTATTTTATCCAGGTGAAATTCAAAATTTACAAAGACTGTTTACCCTTGCCAGAGAGTAGCTTTAAACTTGTCATTCGAGATAATTACCAGAAAGGTTCCAACAAATTTAATCCCGAACTCAATATTAGACAAGTATGTTTCATTTTTATCTCTCGCAAATTGATTTTAAGAGCAATTATTTCATTCTACTTTTCTTTTCTTCTCTGCATCTTTTTGTGTTAAGAAGTGAAAACTACGTTTCTTATTTGGAATATATTGCTATGTTACAGGTAAGAAGTCTAATAGAATTGTTTCGCCCACTACATGAATTGCCAACTTCACCTACACTTCCTTTTTTGAAGAAACCAATGAATAATGTTTATCATCATATATCAGGGCCACCACCACTTTCCAGAATGCTACCCAATCAAGCTCCAATGTTGTTGAACTATCCTGTTCATAATATTATGCCTTATTCACATGCAACACAGTCTGTGCCATCCCAAGCTTCAAGGAATCAGTTTTACTCTCCTGCTAGTACACTTACACCGGAGGGTACTTATGCAACTGGGATCTGCAGCAGTCATAATCAGACTATCCTCAGGGGCTGTGATCATACTCAGACATTGCAATACTCTCACCACGCATATCATAACATCATACATACACAACCTGAATTTCATTCTTCATTGATGCCTGTGGGTAGCAGTCTTACTCAACCTCTGCAAAACTCTCCATATCCATATCAGAGTATCTTAAACCCTCAATCACTGCAAGATCCTCAACATCCATATCAGAGTGACCCAAACCCTCAATTGCTGCAAGATCCTCAATATCAATATCAGAGTATCTTAAACTCTCAATTGCTGCAAGATCCTCAATATCCATATGAGAGTATAACAAAATCGTCGCATGATTTTCATCCCACAGTCACAAATGCAGGCAGCAGCTGTCTCCAGTTGTCATGGCTTCCAGTCAAACTTACAACAAAACACTTATTCCACCACGCTAAACGTGGGCCACAGTTACAATCAATGCCAGATTATCAATATACACATCAGAAAAATGCCCAAATTCCTCAACAGATTAATCATCCATACTTTCCTCAAGAATTTCCATCTTCTGCATATTCATCTCAAGGGTATTTTATTTCAACTTCATTCTAAACCTTTAATTTAATTCAATAAACTTTGTCCGGCAAAGGGATTTTTATTATATTTAGTAAGTACAACAAGGGGATAATCCATTGACTGAAGCTATGATGCAGATTCTAGAGGAGAAAGCATTGCCCCATTATAAATTTTAAGATTTATAACTGTTTGCTACACAAGCATTTTTAGCCATGGGCTTAATGTATATTTGAAATGAATTTTGACAATATCTAATTGTTATTATGGACCAGGGCTGCAGCCATGCAAGGGGTGATATCAAGTGGTCAACAAACTGGAATGGGAAGCGAGTAGCACGAGCTATCTATGCAGACACAGGAATACCTCTACTCTAGAGAATGTTGCCGAACCACCTGTACTCAAAATATTCAATTTCTAAGTGCTTAATCACATTTCTACTTAAATATTCCATTATGCTGAATTTTTTGTATGTAAAGCCGCGTATATAATTTTAAAACACTGACGCTTACTTGTTGCTTTTTGTGCCAAAGGAATGATATATCAAGAAGGATTGCAACTCAATCACACAAACCCCTTGAAATAAATTAGGTAGGCGATAAAAGAGAAGAAAAATAGATAATCTTACACTTCACAAATATAATTAAACTAGATAACGAAATCTCAAAACAATTTGGAGCGATCAAAAATTAATATGAAGAGTTATGTCAAGCAAATAATATTAGACAACGATAACGCAAGGAAAAAATTTAAAGCAGATACCATGAAATATTAGCATTATGTCTTTAATAGTGGGCATACAGCAGAAAAGAAAAATACTAACAATATGCCTATCATTGCTTTCCACTCAGCTACTGCTATGCTCCCAGGCCTAAGCTAAATTATTGGAAAGTAGTGCTATGCTCCCAGGCCTAAGCTAAATTATTGGAAAGTAGTGGCTAAGAATATTTAACCAGGCTTTAGAAAACAATTTTAAAATGAAATCTTTAGATGTGTGCTAACAATCCACTACAAAAAAACATTAAATTATCGATGGATAAATACGACGAATCTATATCCATCGATAATGTAGAATTATCAACAAAATTTTTGATGGATTTTTGAAATCCGTTGGTAAAGGCTATGACTCAATATTGATGGTCAGATATGTCAGTAAACACTTGGTAGAACATTTTTAGGGACTTTGGAAATCACTTTTCCCTTACTTGCATATTTTGTATTCTCCTCTATGATTCCTTCATCATTCGTCCTCATTTGTAAAATAACTTTTGTCTTCGTTCAATTCCTCCATCATCGAGATTGATTTCTTCCATTTTGAAATTTTGTCATTCACAAAGCCTCGATCATTGATTCACGGTGTCCGTCATTGGCTTATTCGCAAAGGTACCTTGAGCACGCAAAGGGCTTTTGTGTCATTCACGGAGGTAGAGGCTTGGGTTCTCTCATTTGCGAAGGCAGAGGCGAGTTCACTCATTCACAAAAGGTTTATCTGTCATTTGTACATAGGCATTGACAAGTTGTTCGAGGATTTCTGGTGTAGTGGGTTTGGGTCGTGTTGGTGGATGATTCGTCTTGCATTGACGCTAAGTTTGGGAGGCCGGTGCTGTGACGTGAGGGTTATTGTTGGAGGGTTCGTGGTGCATTAGGTTTGAGCAATCTTCGTCGAGGGTTCTTCCTGCGTTTAGGGGAGCTTGGTTGAGGGATCTTGGGCAAGTTTTTTTGCTCTATTTTTTTCACTACAGTGGTGTAGGGAGGCTACCATCGAGGTAATTTTTTTGGTTGCGGATAAATATGTGGTTGTGAAATCTGAAAAAGTGTAGCCCCTTTTCTTAGTAAAAATTTTATTTTTGATGAATGAGTAAAATTCAGAAAGTAGTTCTTTGAACAACAATGGGAGATGGAATTTGCGTTGACTCAATAATTGAAGTATATAATTTTAGGATGTGTTTTGTAGAAGAAAATTGTGGCCTAATTTTCTTTTATACCTTTCAAAATCGTAATTACTCTTTGAAGTTTGTCACACATACATAGATAAACATATGTCATGAGAGTGAACTGTATAATTTTTGCATTTTTATATGCATTATGGATTGACACACTTGACATTCTTGAGAGAAGAAATGATCCAAGTTTTGTTCAATGCAATGACTGATAGAAAATGGTTGTAAAGACACCTCAAGTCCCCAAGTTAGAGTACTATTCTCCTATCTAACGAATGTTTGAATGTTATATTAAACCCCTTCGCTCATGTAAACCCAACATGCTTTCGATTAACTTAATACCAATTGGTTCATTACATTCTTATTATTTTTATACATGTCATGTTAAATTAATTTTGTGCAATGATACCTATCAATATTTGGTTGTGAATTTTGATTTGGATGTTAAAAATGAGGTGTTAAATCTGATTTTGGTGTTAAAATTTGAGTCCTATTTGATTCTTTTAGCAATTTTGTGGACATCAATTGCCCCTTACTTTTGTTATTTACCCAAACTTGTATCATGTTGAATTGTTGATTTGATTCATTTAACATGTTTGTATTTGTAAATTGTGTTTTATAGTTTAACCAATAAATTCTTTGTCTTTCACATTGATGTTTATTAATAGAGTCTTCGATTTCAAATTTAAAGAAGCTATGGAGTGATATTTGGACGTATGATGTTTCAAGGAAGCAAAACTTCCTTATGAGGGCAACTTTGATGTTGACTATTAATGACTTCTTCACATATTTATCTGGTTGGAGCACACATGGTCGATTAACTTGTCCGCATTGCATGAAGCACACAAAGTTCTTGGTTTGACTATCATCGAAGGTTCTTGCCTACTGATCACTCATTTAGGAGAAACAAAAAGACATTTCACAAAGGGCAAGTTGAAACAAATATGCCTCCACCTAGGCTTACTCTGTCACAAGTTTGGAGAAAAGTCGAACATTTTTCAAAAGTGACTGCAAGTGGTCTGAATAGGATAAAAAAGTATGGGGACTAACATAACTGGAGTAAAAGAGACATTTTTTTGGAATCTTCTCAATTGGAAAGACAACTTGGTAAGACATAACTTCGATATGATGCACATAGAAAAGAATTTCTTTGACAATATATCTTTAACATGGTCATGAATGTCAATGGCAAGACAAAAGATAATGAAAACGCAGGAAAAGATTTACCTTTATATTATGGTCGAAGAAACTTAGAGTTGAAGAAACTTAGAGTTGAAGGCACAAGATGACGAGAAGTTGTTGAAGCCAAAAGCAAATTACACCTTGTCAAAAGACGAGGCTAAAATAGATTGTCGATGGATCAAGGAGCTTAGAATGCCAGATGGTTATTCTTCTAACTTTTCCATATGTGCTAATATTTAAAAAGGTAGTATTGAAGGTTTAAAGAGTCATAATTGTCATGTATTCATGGAGATTTTAATCCCTGTTGCGTTCAATTGTTTACCAATGAACGTGTTAAGTCCACTCACAGAAATCAATAACTTCTTCAAAGATTTGTGCTCCACGACGTTGTAGGAAAATTTGCTAAAAAGGTTAGAAGAAAATATTCCAATTATTCTTTGCAAATTCGAAAGAATATTCCCTCCTACATTCTTTGATTCGATGGAGCATCTTCAGATTCATCTTGCATATGAAACTTGGCTTGATAGACTAGTGTAATATAGGTGGATGTATCCCTTTGAAAGGTTTATGGGAGAATCAAAACGTTATTTGAAAAATAAAGCCAGAGTAGAAGGATCAATTTGTACAGCCTACTTGCGTTGAGAGACAACATACTTTTGTTCACATTATTTCAAGAACTTCATGTTGTCACCCAATAATGTTAGGAATGAAATGCAATAGTAAACTAAAACATGTTATTTAACTTTATCAGTTTTTCGACAAGTTGATCGTCATGCAGGCAAGGAGTACACTCATTGGTTAACTGATGTTGAATTTAACTCTTCTCATGTCCATGTGTTAATCAATTGCAGTGAAATTAAATCGTACCTTAAGTATGTTATCATCTCATTCTTAACTTTCCAATCCTGAAATTGATATACTCACTAATTGTGTTCATATGTAACAACTCATTTCTTGTGGTTGAGTAAGTCACAGAAGGAAGTGCTTCTGCTCGAATAAACTCAGAGTTTTCTAACTAGTTCAGATATCAAGTATGTATGTCTTTGCTATAATTTGAGCAAGGTTTCTAATTATTCTTCCTGTAAAAAATTTTTTGGCATCTTTGTAGGATTTTAACCAACCATTAAGTCCCAAATTCAAAACTTAAAAGATTTGACAAATTGGTCAGTGAGATGTGTGAAAGAGTGTGAAAGAATGACGCACTTACTTCATTAATGGGTATAAACTCCATACTCATGAATGATCCAAAGGAAAGAAAACAACTAATTGTGGTGTGTACGTGAAGGGTCTTACAAAAGGTGTTTATGATGATTTCTACGACATCATTCATAAAATATATGAGCTAGAGTACAACATTAGTACTTCTCCAAAGAGAGTAGTACTTGTTTATTGTGAATGATTTGATCATTCTAGAACTGGTATAAGAAAAAGGCCCATCACATCTTGATAAAGAGAAAGGGATAGCAAAGCCTAAGAAGAAGCAACGACAAACACACTATATACTAAGGGTGCTACTACACTATCTACCATTGTTGCCCCTAGTCCATTGGACATTGGGCCATCAAATGCAACACACCCTCTTTTGTTATCCACACCAAACATTCCTCCTTCCCTCGCAACAAACCCTTCTTCTCCCCTCGCAACAAACCTAACTTCTTCCCCCATAGCAGATCCTACTTCTATATTGTTCTCATCTTCTATACTGCCTTCAGCTATTGTCACACCATCTGGTGATCTTGATTAAGTTGGTGATGGTGTTGACCCCCCTCTCCATGATCAACCAGTGATTGAACCTTATGGTCGAGGGAAATACCTAATAACCTTTGTAACTAATTTTGATGTTTTAAGTTTGCCTTAATTCAAATCACTTTCATTTCTTTATATAAAGGTTTCTTCCATCCAAGATTGCTTCTCAGGCAATCACAAGGTCAATTAAGCAACAATTTCTGAACTCATGTCCTACATAAGGAGTAATACCTGTAGAGGACAGAGAATCATTCTGGCAGCATTTTAAGGTGAAAGTTAATCAAATTAATTATAATTTTTTATTGATGTATGCTAATTCAAGATCAAAAACATAATAAATCAATTCCAATGTTTGTATGATTTATTGTTATAGATGAAGGTGTAGTGGAAACTTGAACATGAAAGTCAAATTCAAAGAAATTTCCACACTAAAGCATCTCATAGGCTGTCAGAGATGTTTAGAGATGCACACAATGTAGGAAAGTGCCCTTACTAGCTTGACAAGCACATATGGAACTGCTTACTGAGTTATTGGAATTCGGTAGAGTTTCGTAATAAATGTTCTATTGCTCAGAGGAATAGAGCTTCAAAAAAGGGTGGGACCCTACATATAGGCGAATCCATTAACGTTCATGAACATGCCATTCGCATGGTAAGCC